TTGGATGCTATACACTTGAACTACTCAAGCTTGGAGCTGACACTTGAACTGTTCAGCTGGGAATGCTTGACACTTGAACACTTACTCAAGCTTGCTGGACACTTGAGCTGTTCACGCTCGGAATGCTGACACTTGAACTACTCAAGCTTGGGATGCTAACACTTGAACTACTCAAGCTTGGGATGCTAACACTTGAGCTGTTCACTGCTCGGAATGCTAACACTTGAACTACTCAAGCTTGGGATGCTAACACTTGAGCTGTTCACGCTCGGAAAGCTGACACTTGAACTACTCAAGCTTGGGATGCTAACACTTGAAGCTACTCAGCTTTGGATGCTGACACTTGAACTACTCAAGCTTGGATGCTAACACTTGAACTACTCAAGCTTTGCTGACACTTGAAAATGCTGACACTTGAACTACTCAAGCTTGGGATGCTAACACTTGAACTACTCAAGCTTGGGATGCTACACTTGAGCTGAAATCTGACACTTGAACTACTCAAACACACTTGAATGCTTGCTGACACTTGAACTACTCAAGCTTGGGATGCTGACACTTGAACTACTCAAGCTTGGGATGCTGACACTTGAGCTGTTCACGCTCGGAATGCTGACACTTGAACTACTCAAGCTTGGGATGCTAACACTTGAGCTGTTCATGCTCGGAATGCTGACACTTGAACTACTCAAGCTTGGGATGCTGACACTTGAGCTGTTCATGCTGCTGACACTTGAACTACTCAAGCTTGGGATGCTAACTGAACTTCAAGCTTGGGATGCTGACACTTGAGCTGTTCACTTGACACTACTCAAGCTTGGGATGCTAACACTTGAACTACTCAAGCTGCTCACCTGTTTGCTGACACTTGAACTACTCAAGCTTGGATGCTTGAGCTGTTCACGCTCGGAATGCTGACACTTGAACTACTCAAGCTTGGGACTTGAACTACTCAAGCTTGGGATGCTAACACTTGAGCTGTTCATGCTCGGAATGACACTTGAACTACAAGCTGGGATGCTAACACTTGAACTACTCAAGCTTGGGATGCTGATACTTGAACTACTCAAGCTTGGAATGCTAACACTTGAACTACTCAAGCTTGGGATGCTGACACTTGAACTACTCAAGCTTGGGATGCTAACACTTGAGCTGTTCACGCTCGGAATGCTGACACTTGAACTACTCAAGCTTGGGATGCTGACACTTGAACTACTCAAGCTTGGGATGCTGACACTTGAGCTGTTCACGCTCGGAATGCTGACACTTGAACTACTCAAGCTTGGGATGCTGACACTTGAGCTGTTCACGCTCGGAATGCTGACACTTGAACTACTCAAGCTTGGGATGCTTGAATGCTTGAGCTGTTCATGCTCGGAATGCTGACACTTGAACTACTCAAGCTTGGGATGCTAACACTTGAACTACTCAAGCTTGGGATGCTGACACTTGAGCTGTTCACGCTCGGAATGCTGACACTTGAACTACTCAAGCTTGGAATGCTAACACTTGAACTACTCAAGCTTGGGATGCTGACACTTGAACTACTCAAGCTTGGGATGCTAACACTTGAGCTGTTCACGCTCGGAATGCTGACACTTGAACTACTCAAGCTTGGGATGCTAACACTTGAACTACTCAAGCTTGGGATGCTGACACTTGAGCTGTTCAAATGCTGACACTTGAACTACTCAAGCTTGGGATGCTGACACTTGAGCTGTTCACGCTCGGAATGCTGACACTTGAACTACTCAAGCTTGGGTGACTTGAACTACTCAAGCTTGGGATGCTGACACTTGAGCTGTTCATGCTCGGAATGCTGACACTTGAACTACTCAAATGCTGACACTCAAGCTTGGGATGCTGACACTTGAGCTGTTCACTCGGAATGCTGACACTTGAACTACTCAAGCTTGGATGCTGACACTGCTGAAATGCTGACACTTGAACTCAAGCTTGGATGCTGTGACACGCTATGCTGACACTTGAACTACTCAAGCTTGGGATGCTCACAGCTGTTCACGCTGACACTGAACTGTTCATGCTCGGAATGCTGACACTTGAACTACTCAAGCTTGGGAACACTTGAACTGTCAAGCTTGGGATGCTGACACTTGAGCTGTTCACGCTCGGAATGCTGACACTTGAACTACTCAAGCTTGGGATGCTGACACTTGAGCTGTTCACGCTATGCTGACACTTGAACTACTCAAGCTTGGGATGCTGACACTTGAACTACTCAAGCTTGGGATGCTGACACTTGAACTACTCAAGCTTGGGATGCTGACACTTGAGCTGTTCATGCTCGGAATGCTGACACTTGAACTACTCAAGCTTGGGATGCTGACACTTGAACTACTCAAGCTTGGGATGCTGACACTTGAGCTGTTCACGCTCGGAATGCTGACACTTGAACTACTCAAGCTTGGATGCTGACACTTGAGCTGTTCAGCTCGCTGACACTTGAACTACTCAAGCTTGGGATGCTGACACTGAACTACTCAAGCTTGGGATGCTGACACTTGAGCTGTTCATGCTCGGAATGCTGACTTGAACTACTCAAGCTTGGGATGCTGACAACTTGCTGTTGCTTGCTGACACTTGAGCTTGGGATGCTAACACTTGAACTACTCAAGCTTGGGATGCTGACACTTGAACTACTCAAGCTTGGCTGACACTTGAACTACTCAAGCTTGGGATGCTAACACTTGAGCTGTTCATGCTCGGAATGCTGACACTTGAACTACTCAAGCTTGGGATGCTAACACTTGAACTACTCAAGCTTGGGATGCTTGAACTACTCAAGCTTGGGATGCTGACACTTGAGCTGTTCACGCTCGGAATGCTGACACTTGAACTACTCAAGCTTGGGATGCTAACACTTGAGCTGTTCACGCTCGGAATGCTGACACTTGAACTACTCAAGCTTGGGATGCTAACACTTGAACTACTCAAGCTTGGGATGCTAACACTTGAACTACTCAAGGGGATGCTGACACTTGAACTACTCAAGCTTGGGATGCTAACACTTGAACTACTGCTAACACTTGAACTACTCAAGCTTGGGATGCTGACACTTGAACTACTCAAATGGAGCTGTTCACGCTGACACTTGAACTACTCAGCTGCTTGGCTTCGGAATGCTGACACTTGAACTACTCAAGCTTGATGCTAACACTTGAGCTGTTCTTGCTGACACTTGAACTACTCAAGCTTGGGATGCTAACACTTGAACTACTCAAGCTTGGGATGCTAACACTTGAACTACTCAAGCTTGGGATGCTAACACTTGAACTACTCAAGCTGCTACACTTGAACTACTCAAGCTTAGGATGCTAACACTTGAGCTGTTCACGCTCGGAATGCTGACACTTGAACTACTCAAGCTTGGGATGCTAACACTTGAACTACTCAAGCTTGGGATGCTGACACTTGAGCTGTTCACGCTCGGAATGCTGACACTTGAACTACTCAAGCTTGGGATGCTAACACTTGAACTACTCAAGCTTGGATGTGAGCTGTTCACGCTTGAACTACTCAAGCTTGGGATGCTGACACTTGAACTACTCAAGCTTGGGATGCTGACACTTGAACTACTCAAGCTTGGGATGCTAACACTTGAGCTGTTCACGCTCGGAATGCTGACACTTGAACTACTCAAGCTTGGGATGCTTTGAACTACTCAAGCTTGGGATGCTGACACTTGCAAGGATGCTGACACTTGAACTACTTGGGATGCTGACACTTGAACTACTCAAGCTTGGGATGCTAACACTTGAGCTGTTCACGCTCGGAATGCTGACACTTGAACTACTCAAGCTTGGGATGCTGACACTTGAACTACTCTTGGGATGCTGACACTTGAACTACTCAAGCTTGGGATGCTGACACTTGAACTACTCAAGCTTGGGATGCTAACACTTGAGCTGTTCACGCTCGGAATGCTGACACTTGAACTACTCAAGCTTGGATGCTGTTGAACTACTCAAGCTTGGGATGCTGACACTTGAACTACTCAAGCTTGGGATGCTGACACTTGAACTACTCAAGCTTGGGATGCTGACACTTGAACTGCTAACACTTGAACTACTCAAGCTACTAACACTTAAACTGCTCAAGCTTGGGATGCTGACACTTGAGCTGTTCACGCTCGGAATGCTGACACTTGAACTACTCAAGCTTGGGATGCTGACACTTGAGCTGTTCACGCTCGGAATGCTGACACTTGAACTACTCAAGCTTGGGACACTTGATACTGAGCCATTTGAAACTGAGCTGCTCAGACTCATAGAAGTTGAATTACTAGGTTCTGACCTACTAAGACTTGAACTTGAAGTAATAGAAAATGAAACACCCAAACTTGTGCTGCTGAGACTGGAACTATTCACACTCTGTCTCGTGAGATCTGAACTACTGCTCTGACTGCTATGACTTGAAATACTTAAGCATGGAGGACTCAGAATCGAGCTGTTCATGCTTGGGGTACTAAGACCTGAATTACTAAAACTGTTATTGCTAGGTCTTGTACTACTACTACTGCTTGAAAGACTTGAAATACTTGGACTTAAGCTTGGACCGTCTGATACTGAAATACTGCTAGGAGTTGAGCAACTTGATCTGCTAATGCTGGATACACTTGGATATAAGCTTGAGCTACTGAAACCTGAAGAGATATAACACTGAATAATTGAATAACCAGTTAACACAAACACACACACTAAATCTTTCACTGTCGATTTGAAATATAAAAGGCTAAAGCAGAATTCTCCATCTATGCTTAAACGAATATTTTGATCATCAGGAAGTATAATCAATTACTGATTATAATTTTTGATTCTTTTTGTAAGAAATGGTTGTGATACAGAGGAGTATATCCCATATTTGTAAATGTTTGCTAACTTGGTAGTCCATCATGATTGTATACGTATATACATATATATACATATGCATATACAGTATATATATATATATATATATATATATATATATATATATATATATATATATATATATATATATATATGTGTGTGTGTGTGTGTGTGTGTGTGTGTGTGTGTGTGTGTGTGTGTGTGTGTGTGTGTGTGTGTATGTATGTATGTATGTTGTGTGTATGTGTGTATGTATGTATGTGTGTGTGTGTGTGTGTGTGTGCGCGCGCGCGCGTGCGTGTGTGTGCGTGTGCGTGCGTGTGTATGTGTGTGTGTATGTGTGTGTGCGTGTGTGTGTGTGTGTGTGCGTGTTAGATGGATAGAAAGATATGGATAATTGGATAGATCGACATACATATTAACTACAAATATACTTAATATATATGCATATAGATATTTTTGATACATGAAATTATCACTGCTTTTCAAAGGGACTTGTATATACTTTCGGTAATATTATTCTCATAAAACTAAAGTCAGTGTGTAATAATTCGTATCTTTTAAAACAAGTGCTCCCCTTCTTTTGTTCCAAAATGAAGTGTTTCAATTCACTGATGTTTGCCAGAATGTACTTTATTCTACCACTACACATGAATATATTTTTGTGCCATTTGAGGAGTTTACAAATTGTTGAAATATGTTCCACAGGGCCTCACAAAAAAAAAAAAAAAAAAAAAAAAAAAAAACTATTGACAGTAGATTTGTAACCTTAGGAATATGCAATGATAAAAAAAAAGTTTCAGTATCATATACTGAACGATTTAGCTAGGCAAATGTGTGGCTCGGTAGTTGCTGACAAGGATCGAGAAGTTACCAATTACTGCGGTATTTTGAAAAAGAAAAAAAAAACTTGATAACCACTGTTAGTATAGCAATACACATATCAAATCGATCAACATGGAATGATAAGTCAACCTCTGATAAGCTACAAAACGGGAATAAGATCCTTTTGTGGAATCTAAGGACTTACGTGATCTGGAACTCTCAGAGCCTGAACTCGAACTGCTGAAACTTGAGCATAACCTACTTGGACTTGAAGAACTCAAACTACTTGAACAGCTCAAACTTGACCTACTGGAGCCTGAGAAAATATGACCGTAAATACATTTAAGATTAAGCTAAACAATTTATTTACTGTGCAACTCCTGATTTAGGTAATTGTATTATGCAGATTCATCCCACATTCATTTATTCCAGTAGTTACAACCTAGAAATCATGTCAGAAGAAAAGAAGAGAAGAAAAATACAATTTTCTGATGCCTTAATTAAAAGCTATCATTCAGTACAATTTACATGTAGAATACTTTTGGACTCATGGGTATTAATGTGCTGTAATAATGATGGTACTATTAATACGACTGATAATTAGAAAAAAAAACTATCTAGAAGGCTCAGAATACTTTTGAAATAACAAACTGTTGAATTCGAAAAAATGTGATCTATATTACTTTCAAGCACACAAGTATTTCTTCACTGAAAAACCTATAGACTTACTTGCACTAGAACTACTACAGCCTGAACTCAACTCGCTGAAACTTGAGCTACTTGAACTTAAACTAACTGAAACTGAGCTACTTAGGCTCCTTGATCGGCTCGAGCTTGAAAAACTGGGGCCTGAGGAGAGATAAGCTTATTATTTACATGCAGTAATTCTAGATGAGCAAGTTGCAGAGAGTCTACGGAAGTATTTAAGAAAAAAAGCAGCATTTTATGTGTGTCTGCGTGTGTGTGTGTTTCATGGCATTTGAGTATCAAAGAAAAAAAATCTTTGTGTGTGACTGTACATGTGTGTGTTTTGTAGAATCGAGCTTTCCATTGAAGTTGTTAATTGTCATTCATTTTTGCTTAATAGTTTTCAAAAAAAAAAAAAAAAAAAAAAAAAAAAAAAAAAAAAAAGTATACGATGGTCTCTTTCGGCTTTCAAAAGAGACCTTACCTCACGCAGATAAACAGCTTTCCCACATATGCATTTGCTAACACTCAGAATACTTTTGAAATGACAAACTGATGAATTCGAAAAATGTGATCTACAAGTATTTCTTCACTGAAACAGGCAAGTGGATATGGATAAAAACTACTGAGATAAACTTACTTAAAACAGATGTCAGACTGGTCGAGACCGAAATAACACTGATTCTCGAACTGCTACTGCCTGAACTAGATCTTGAACTAACAGAGCTTGCGTTAATTGACCTGTAAACTCTTGAACTACTGAAACCTGTGGATACATAGGCGATGAATAACTTCTAAATAGATTCTTTGTTAAGCACGTGTGTGGCCATTGCAACTACAGTAATCCTATCCACCTGAAACTGGGGTCTACTTGTTGTATTACAATTCTTAGTTACTGTCTGCCCTCTTTGGGTTATTTTGTAATTGAGATATTTGACTGACAACCAATACTTTGAAATACTTGTGGTCATGGTCGGAGAAACCAAGAATAACTAAGAATACACAGCCTACGAACTTACTTGAGCTGGAACTACTGCCGGAACTACCACTGCTTAAACTTAAACTACTTGAACTTGAGATATTCAGGCTAACAGAGCTGCTCAAACTTGAACTACTGGAGCCTGAGGAAATATAGAAAATGAATAATCACTGGAGTCTTAGATTATCTAACCACACACCAGTTTGATATATTATGCAGAGATAGACAGAACCTCTACGTATATACAAGGTGTTATCCTTTCAAAAGCGTACAATAGCTACTCACTTATATCTTAGGAAAACTATATCTTTATATAAGAAGTGAGGAAGATTTAAAACCTATAGACTTACTTGCACTAGAACTACTACAGCCTGAACTCAACTCGCTGAAACTTGAGCTACTTGAACTTAAACTAACTGAAACTGAGCTACTTAGGCTCCCTGATCGGCTCGAGCTTGAACAACTGGGGCCTGAGGAGAGATAAGCTTATTATTTACATGCAGTAATTCTAGATGAGCAAGTTGCAGAGAGTCTACGGAAGTATTTAAGAAAAAAAACTGCATTTTATGTGTGTGTTTCATGGCATTTGAGTATCAAAAAAAAAAAAATCTTTGTGTGTGACTGTACATGTGAGTGTTTTGTAGAATCGAGCTTTCCATTCAAGTTGTTAATTGTCATTCCTTTTTGCTTAATAGTTTTCAAAAAAAAAAAAAAAAATGTATACGATGGTCTCTTTCGGCTTTCAAAAGAGACCTTACCTCACGCAGATAAACAGCTTTCCCACATATGCATTTGCTAACACTCACGTAAGGGTCAATATTAATCAAAAGGAAGAGAAAACATACATTATATACTGCAGGCATATATGTATATATATATATATATATATATATATATATATATATATATATATATATATATATATATATATTCAAGAAATATGTATAGTATAGAGTCGCATTTTCTTGTTTCTGAAAAAGATAAAACTACGACACGTTTACACACTGCTTACCCTGTGGCGTTTGCTGCTTCATAAACAGAATCATAAAAATGCTTATGGTGCAAAATGGCCGTCGCATTGGTCAAGTCAAGAAGGACGATGACAAGAACATAAACGAATGAATAGTTACGGTGGTGAAAATGTTATTGACGAATGAAGATGCCGATGAGAATATTTTTTTGAAATCTTGAGAAAAGTAAGATTAGATTATGCTGATGTCTTGATTCTTCGTGTTCTTGTTCTTGATTTGGATTTTGGATTGAAATTTGCAAAGCCTGTAAAAAAGAAAACATTAACCGTTTTTTCAGAACATACTTGAGGTTGCTGAACTTGGAGAATTGCTTGAACTTGGGTTGAAGTTGCTTGAGCTTGGGTTGAAGTTGCTTGGAGAATTGCTTGAACTTGGGTTGAAGTTGCTTGAGCTTGGTGTGACGTCAGTGTGTGACTTATCTTGCGATCCACTTGAAAATCCTGAATTTGAACCTATATAAATTTTGCAGATTAGAATCCCTCACACTCAACGCACACACACAAAAAGAGAATATAATATGCCAAAATTCTTCCAATAAATTTTCTTTCTTCTTCTTGTATTACTGCTGCTGAAGCACTTAGCGAAGACTTGACTTCACATGCGGTTTCAGAATTACCTGTTGCTGCTGAACTGCTAGCAGAAACTGGCCTGCTCGTTGGAAGGGTAACGACGTCGAAACTGCTTGAGTCTGCTGAGCTGCTCTCCACTGCTTCACTGCTTGAAAAGTCACTATTGACTGAGGCAAATGAACAAGACTTTCCCAAGCTACTAGAAGCTGCTGCACTGTCTGACGTTGCCAGACCACTTGAAGCTGCTGCGCTGTTTGAGGTTGCCAGACTGCTAGAGGCTGCTGCACTATCTGAGGTTGCCAGACTGCTAGAGGCTGCTGTGAGGTTGCCTGCTAGAAGCTGCTGCTGAGGTTGCCAGACTGCTAGAGGCTGCTGCACTGTTTGAGGTTGCCAGACTGCTAGAGGCTGCTGCACTGTTTGAGGTTGCCAGACTTGCTGCACTGGAGGTTGTCAGACTGCTTGAGGCTGCTGCACTGTTTGAGGTTGCCAGACTGCTAGAGGCTGCTGCACTGTCCAGAGAGGCTGCTGCACTTGCAGACTGCTAGAGGCTGCTGCACTGTGAGGTTGCCAGACTGCTAGAGGCTGCTGCACTGTTGAGACTGCTAGAGGCTGCTGCACTGTTTGAGGTTGCCAGCTGCTAGAGGCTGCTGCACTGTTGAGGTTGCCAGACTGCTAGAGGCTGCTGCACTGTTTGAGGTTGCCAGACTGCTAGAGCTGCTGCTGAGGTTGCCAGACTGCTAGAGGCTGCTGCACTGTCTGAGGTTGCCTGCTTTTGCAACTGTTTGAGGTTGCCAGACTGCTAGAGGCTGCTGCACTTGAGGTTGCAGACTGCTAGAGGCTGCTTGCACTGTTTGAGGTTGCCAGACTGCTAGAGGCTGCTGCACTTCTGAGGTTGGCAGACTGCTTGCTGCACTTCTGAGGTTGCCAGACTGCTTGAGGCTGCTGCACTGTTTGAGGTTGCCAGACTGCTAGAGGCTGCTGCACTGTTTGAGGTTGCCAGACTGCTAGAAGCTGCTGCACTGTTTGAGGTTGCCAGACTGCTAGAGGCTGCTGCACTGTTTGAGGTTGCCAGACTGCTAGAGGCTGCTGCACTGCTGAGGTTGCCAGACTGCTAGAAGCTGCTGCACTATCTGAGGTTGCCAGACTGCTTGAGGCTGCTGCACTGTTTGAGGTTGCCAGACTGCTAGAGGCTGCTGCACTGTCTGAGGTTGCCAGACTGCTAGAGGCTGCTGCACTGTCTGAGGTTGACTGCTAGAAGCTGCTGCACTGTTTGAGGTTGCCAGACTGCTAGAGGCTGCTGCTGAGTTGCCAGACTGCTAGAGGCTGCTGCACTGTCTGAGGTTGCCAGACTGCTAGAGCTGCTGCACTGTCTGAGGTTGTCAGACTGCTAGAGGCTGCTGCACTGTCTGAGGTTGCCAGACTGCTAGAGCTGCTGCACTGTCTGAGGTTGCCAGACTGCTAGAGGCTGCTGCACTGTTTGAGGTTGTCAGACTGCTAGAGGCTGCTGCACTGTTTGAGGTTGCCAGACTGCTAGAGGCTGCTGCACTCTCTGAGGTTGCCAGACTGCTAGAGGCTGCTGCACTGTCTGAGGTTGCCAGACTGCTAGAAGCTGCTGCACTGTTTGAGGTTGTCAGACTGCTAGAGGCTGCTGCACTGTCTGAGGTTGCAGACTGCCTGCTGCACTGAGGTTGTCAGACTGCTAGAAGCTGCTGCACTGTTTGAGGTTGCCAGACTGCTAGAGGTTGCTGCGCTGTCTGAGGTTGCCAGACTGCTAGAGGCTGCTGCACTGTCTGAGGTTGCCAGACTGCTAGAAGCTGCTGCACTGTTTGAGGTTGTCAGACTGCTAGAGAGGTTGCAGACTGCTAGAGCTGCTGCACTGTTTGAGGTTGCCAGACTGCTAGAAGCTGCTGCACTGTTTGAGGTTGCCAGACTGCTAGAAGCTGCTGCACTTTGAGGTTGTCAGACTGCTAGAAGCTGTTTGAGGTTGTCTGCTAGAGGCTGCTGCACTCTGAGGTTGCCAGCTGCTAGAGGCTGCTGCACTGTTTTGAGGTTGCCAGACTGCTAGAAGCTGCTGCACTGTCTGAGGTTGCCAGACTGCTAGAAGCTGCTGCACTGTCTGAGGTTGTCAGACTGCTAGAAGCTGCTGCACTGTTTGAGGTTGTCAGACTGCTAGAGGCTGCTGCACTGTCTGAGGTTGCCAGACTGCTAGAGCTGCTGCACTGTTTGAGGTTGCCAGACTGCTAGAAGCTGCTGCACTGTTTGAGGTTGCCAGACTGCTAGAAGCTGCTGCACTGTCTGAGGTTGCCAGACTGCTAGAAGCTGCTGCACTGTTGAGGTTGTCAGACTGCTAGAAGCTGCTGCACTGTTTGAGGTTGCCAGACTGCTAGAAGCTGCTGCACTGTTTGAGGAGACTGCTGCTGCTGCACTGTTGAGGTTGCCAGACTGCTAGAAGCTGCTGCACTGTTTGAGGTTGCCAGACTGCTAGAAGCTGCACTGTTGAGGTTGCAGACTGCTAGAAGCTGCTGCACTGTTTGAGGTTGCCAGACTGCTAGACTGCACTGTTTGAAGACTGCTAGAAGCTGCTGCACTGTTTGAGGTTGTCAGACTGCTAGAAGCTGCTGCACTGTTTGAGGTTGCCAGACTGCTAGACTGCACCAGACTGCTAGAGGCTGCTGCACTGTTTGAGGTTGCCAGACTGCTAGAAGCTGCTGCACTGTTTGAGGTTGCCAGACTGCTAGAGGCTGCTGCACTGTTTGAGGTTGCCAGACTGCTAGAGGCTGCTGCACTGTTGAGGTTGCCAGACTGCTAGAAGCTGCTGCACTGTTTGAGGTTGCCAGACTGCTAGAAGCTGCTGCACTGTCTGAGGTTGCCAGACTGCTAGAAGCTGCTGCACTGTCTGAGGTTGTCAGACTGCTAGAGGCTGCTGCACTGTTTGAGGTTGCCAGACTGCTAGAAGCTGCTGCACTGTTTGAGGTTGCCAGACTGCTTGAGGTTGCCAGACTGCTAGAAGCTGCTGCACTGTTGAGGTTGCAGACTGCTAGAAGCTGCTGCACTGTTTGAGGTTGCCAGACTGCTAGATGCACTGCAGACTGCTTGCTGCTGAGGTTGCCAGACTGCTAGCTGCTGCACTGAGGTTGCCAGACTGCTAGAAGCTGCTGCACTGTTTGAGGTTGCCAGACTGCTAGAAGCTGCTGCACTGTCTGAGGTTGTCAGACTGCTAGAAGCTGCTGCACTGTTTGAGGTTGACTGCTAGAGCACTGTTTGAGCCAGACTGCTAGAAGCTGCTGCACTGTTTGAGGTTGCCAGACTGCTAGAGCTGCTGCACTGTTTGAGGTTGCCAGACTGCTAGAGCTGCTGCACTGTCTGAGGTTGCAGACTGCTAGAAGCTGCTGCACTGTTTGAGGTTGCCAGACTGCTAGAGCTGCTGCACTGTTTGAGGTTGCCAGACTGCTAGAGCTGCTGCACTGTCTGAGGTTGCAGACTGCTAGAGCTGCTGCACTGTTGAGGTTGCCAGACTGCTAGAAGCTGCTGCACTGTCTGAGGTTGCCAGACTGCTAGAAGCTGCTGCACTGTTTGAGGTTGACTGCTAGAGCTGCTGCACTGTTTGAGGTTGCCAGACTGCTAGAAGCTGCTGCACTGTTTGAGGTTGCCAGACTGCTAGAAGCTGCTGCACTGTCTGAGGTTGACTGCTAGCTGCTGCACTGTTTGAGGTTGCAGACTGCTAGAAGCTGCTGCACTGTCTGAGGTTGCCAGACTGCTAGAAGCTGCTGCACTGTCTGCAGACTGCTAGAGGCTGCTGCACTGTTTGAGGTTGCCAGACTGCTAGAAGCTGCTGCACTGTTTGGTTGCCAGACTGCTAGAAGCTGCTGCACAGGTTGCAGACTGCTAGAGGCTGCTGCACTGTTGAGGTTGCCAGACTGCTAGAGGCTGCTGCACTCAGACTGCTAGAAGCTGCTGCACTGTTTGAGGTTGCCAGACTGAGCTGCTGCACTGCCAGACTGCTCTGCTGCTGAGGTTGCCAGACTGCTAGAAGCTGCTGCACTGTTTGAGGTTGCCAGACTGCTAGAAGCTGCTGCACTGTTTGAGGTTGCAGACTGCTAGAGCTGCTGCACTGTTTGAGGTTGAGAGCTGCTGCACTGTCTGAGGTTGCCAGACTGCTAGAAGCTGCTGCACTGTTGAGGTTAGACTGCTAGAAGCTGCTGCACTGTTTGAGGAGCTGCTGCACTGTTGAGGTTGCCAGACTGCTGCTGCTGCACTGTTTGAGTTGCCAGAAGCTGCTGCAGAGGCTGCTAGACTGCTGAAGCTGCTGCACTTTGAGGTTGTCAGACTGCTAGAAGCTGCTGCACTGTCTGAGGTTGCCAGACTGCTAGAGACTGCTGCACTGTTTGAGGTTGCCAGACTGCTAGAGGCTGCTGCACTGTTTGAGGTTGTCAG